AAAAAAAAAAAAAAAAAAAAAAAAAAAAAAAAAAAAAAAAAAAAAAAAAAAAAAAAAAAAAAAAAAAAAAAAAAAAAAAAAAAAAAAAAAAAAAAAAAAAAAAAAAAAAAAAAAAAAAAAAAAAAAAAAAAAAAAAAAAAAAAAAAAAAAAAAAAAAAAAAAAAAAAAAAAAAAAAAAAAAAAAAAAAAAAAAAAAAAAAAAAAAAAAAAAAAAAAAAAAAAAAAAAAAAAAAAAAAAAAAAAAAAAAAAAAAAAAAAAAAAAAAAAAAAAAAAAAAAAAAAAAAAAAAAAAAAAAAAAAAAAAAAAAAAAAAAAAAAAAAAAAAAAAAAAAAAAAAAAAAAAAAAAAAAAAAAAAAAAAAAAAAAAAAAAAAAAAAAAAAAAAAAAAAAAAAAAAAAAAAAAAAAAAAAAAAACGGAAGTTCGTCATCTTTAATATTTCTATTTTTAATATTGTTCAAATTTTAATAAATCTGACGAATTTAGCTATTAAATCTAAAGTGCGATGGATTTGTTTTATATAGATCAACGAAACTGGAATATAACAAGTCTATTTAAATTTTTATGATATTTAATTTTAATATTTATTATTAATTTAATATTTAATATTTAATATTTAATAATATTTAAACACGTAACTGTTGATTTAATATCGTTGATATTTACCCTAAGCTGGAGATTTTCCTGCCTAAGCGTGCTTTCTTCTACCCTAAGCTGATTAACTTCTTGTGCAGCCTTTAACAGTTTCTCTTCTGCCTCACCAAGTACCTGAAAAGAATTATTAATCACAAATTAATTCAGGATATAACAAATCATTATTGCACAAGATTATATATACAACATAATATATATAATTACATCTCACCTTAGGTGACGATTTGACGGAATCGCCGACTGCTTTATTCTTTCCGTTAGTCGCATTAGAATCTGCCTTAATTGTCGTAGAAGTTGCAGTCGTTTTAGCCGTAGAAGTAGTACTAGTCACGGGATTTTCAAAGACGCATTTAAGTTTAGAATCCATTAACTGATCCGGATTTATATCCTTCCACTGTAAAGATAAACATACACGATTTATTATAATAAATTTAAATTATAAAGAACCATTATTAGAACAGTTCCAATTACTTTGTTAAATAATAATGTATTATAAAAAATATTACACACAATATCACTAATATTCACTTACTACATCAACTGGATATTCATCGTCGTCATCGTCTGGTGCTATTACAGTTTGCACCATAAATTTATGTTTGTTTTTCTCCGACGGATCAAAATCATACGGTTGTAAGCATACTGTAATAAAATAGTTTGATATTTAATTAAATAATAAATCTCTTAAAAATTTTTACAAGTATAGATAATAGACTTTATATATAATTAGCTAGGAAATTAGGCGAGTATTCTTCAATAGATATAAAAATAAACTAAAATTTTATGTGATATAGACAAACCTGCTATTTCCATGACATCCTTTGGCTTGAGGGCTCCAGCGTTTGGACGTACACAGTATCTCTTTGGGGCAGTTGTCTTTATCTTAAAATATACTTTTTTATTCGTTGGATTAATTAATTTTATATACGATGTGATTGGACCTCCTGTAAAAGGGCCTGTAACAAAATAAATGATAAAGAAATTTATTAATAAAGATAAAGCTATATTATATTAACTAAATTCAGAGGAACAAAAAGAGAAATATTATTTCTCTTTTTATATTTATATATTAATAAAAATTATATATTATCAGAGTACAGAAATACCAATAATAATAAATCAATAACAAATGCTAAAAAGGGGAGGCTATTCTGGAATATCAGCAGCAAATATAAAATATCAAGTATAAAATAACATAAATGCATAAAACCAGTATATAACTATTCGATGTATATTATGTTTTTTTCACAAGCTACATATTTGTCATTCTGCTATATTACCCTAGCCAGTATTCCTTGAAGATTATATCTTCCTTTTTCAAAAACATTACATATTTATTAAGTTCAAATATACATTACATTTATAGATTCGATAAATTTATTCTTTTAAAAAAGACTATTCACTATTGCATTAATTAATAATAAAAGTTACGTCATTTCATAGTCATTCATTAGTCATCAATTTTTAATCATTAATTTATATTATTAATCATTTTATAGTCATTGTACAAAGTTTCTTTATAAGAGATGTATACATAAAAAAACAATGAAAAAACTTGATAAATATAATCTAACAGCAACGTAAATATCATTTGACGATATGACAAAGTCAATTCAACAGAATAGGCCAATTGACTATAAAAACAGTGTCGTTACCAACTTACATTATTATAAACTTTATTGTGTGTGTTATCGTATTATCTTTTATCACAAGTTACATGTACAAAAGCTACACATGCAAATTAGTATATCTAGAAGAAAAAAAATTAGAATATAACGGAGGAATGAAGAAAAGCACGCGGCATATATTAATTAAATTTACATACGATTATAGATTATTTTCGATTCTAAAATATTTTAATCTTGATAACAAAAATATCACATTGGCTAATCGTTCATCGTATAAGCGCTGATATGCTGTGTGCGATCGACACAAAAGTGTTTGTCTTATAATGTACATATAACGAGTATATGTGAGACCGGTCATAGTCGAAGGACATAGCATCGTTCAATCTAAGCATAATTAATAAGTACTGTTATCCTTAGGCGACAAATTACAGTAAGAAGCACGAAACAGACAGCCCTGCCGTCATCTTTTCAGATGAAACGAAACTCGTTACATGTACGTGCATCGCGAACCTTGAGAAAAATCGCATATGCAAATATTTATTTTGCTTTACATAGAATTATCGTTTCTAAGAAAAACACGTGACGCGCGGATGAATATTGCACGCGTAGGTGGACGCGACATTGTTGAAATTTCGTAGTGAAACGATTTCGAAATAGCAGAAAATCACGAGTGGAAAATAGTGAGAGAGAGAGAGAGAGAGAGAGAGACAGAGAGACTCGGCGTTATAAGAGAATCGCGATCTATTACCGGAGCTTTCCGTTATACAAAGCATAAATAAACGAAGCCCTTATGGATTAGTGGCGCGTATAGCGGAGCTAAGTGGAGCAGTGGTATAAATTCAATAAATAGGTTTTCCTCGTACCCACGATTAATGATCGTCGCGGAAAGGTATCGGGACAATGTAGACCGTTGAACCGATCGATGGCACTTGCGTGCTCCTATGGTTTTTCAAACCGATCCGTTTTCCAATCTTTTGTATTCTCTTTCCCCCATCGCGAGAAGAAAAATTTCTGCCTCGGCTCGCGGAAACGATGAGAGAGGGCGCGAGAGCCGTCCGACTTTTCCGCTATTTATTCATCCGTTTTGCCGAATATGTACAGCGAGATTCATTGAAATCCTTCCTCGAGAGAAGAAGGGGACAAAGGAATCGAAACGTCGGCGCCGATAAGCGACGGCGAGTCTCGCTCCTTCTTTCTCTTTCTCTCTCTCTCTCTCTCTCTTTCTCTCGCGCGGCTCTGACAGCGAATTGACGTACGGACAGATAGGGTTAGGTATGAGTTAGCGACATTGCACGTTTCTTGTCGAGGAGCACGACGCGCGACCTCGGATCCACGCATTGATACGCACTGTAACGCGCATTCTATCGCGCTATCCGAGGAAAGCGATGGAGCTAGCGTCCGCGCGTGCGAGACAGAAATCGGCCTTACGTCATCTTGACGACGTCAAGCCGAGCATCCGCTCCGTGTGCAAGCTCACCTCGCGCCGTAAATGCGAGCTCCTCGCGCGACGAGCGGCGTTACGCGCGACTCGTTCGTGCGAGGAGTTCGGTACAGAAAGACAGAGAGATGAGAGGAGGGAAGAAGGAAGGAAGACGAAAAAAAAAAATTGTGTATATACGACGCAGCGGAGGAGGATGATCCCCCGCCGCGTTTCTTTTTTTCTCGACGTACCTCTGAATCGTAGCTCGCTCTGCGGCTCGATAGTTAAAACTTGCTCGGGCTTTTCCACGGGCTTGGATGACATCCTGACTGGCGGACCAAGACGAACTTTTCGACGAACGACGAGTCACGGCGTTGTTGGTGTCTTCTCTTTCACCACCACCACCTCCTCCTCCTGTCTATTGAAGCGCCAACGGTGGTCGACGCGTTTCGACCCCGCGTATTGACAAGTTTTACTTTGCTGTTCTGCTCGTCGTGATTCTTCGCTCGGCTGCGTCGTATATGTCGTGTAGTGTCGTGTCGTGTCGTTACGTGCCGTATCTTTTCCGAGATTCCGTTGGACTGATTCTGATTCGCGGCTGGTGCTCAATACGCATGCGTCACGACGGATATTGTCCGAGGCACAGAGGCCGTATTACGTCACGGTCGGTAACGCGGCTGATTCGCATTTAACTTCACTCTTGGCCTATACACTATGCACCATCTTTCGCTCCGAAAATGTCACGAAATGCACACATTTGTCTAATCCTTTTTTTTTTACTTTTCTATTTAAAAAATTTTTTTTTAGCGCGTTTGTTGGCTATAGCTTCGTTTTATTCGCTATAATATTTTGCAATTAAAAGAACAATATTTATTTCTTAATTACATTTCAATTTTATTCAACTCAAAACAGCACGAATCAATTATATAGATATTAGATTATAAATCTGTTTGTTTAATTGCATTTTTCATATTTACTTACAATTAGTCGAACCTCCGCATTTTATGTTCCTGTTGCTATCCTATTATTTCATATATGCCATATATTTTCGAGAAATTATCAATCATCGGGAGAATGATTGACAAATGAGAAGATATTAGAAGAACACGGTTCGATAAAAGATGAAACGAACTAATAATTAAGCCGCTAATTCGAATCTTAAAAATCGGGGATTTGGGCTTTGATAGAATGACACATATAGGCTGCGGTCGGGAAGATACTAGAAATGCTTCGAAGCGTTTGATTGACCAATCAGGACAAAAAGAGTAAAGATTTATTTATTCTGATTGGTTAATGCATCACTTCGAAGCATTTCTAGCGTCTTCCCGACCGCAGCCATAGAATGACATATTAGAGGAATATTTCGATGAAAAGTAAATCGAATTGAAGTAAATTACTAATTGACATTTAAATTCCTCGAGCTTTGATAGGTCGATATGATTTGACAAGAGGTGACGCGATAAGTTTCCTCCTCTCCGGCATGAATTTTTAAAATACAGTTTCTCATATGTTTCGATCCCCTTTAATATTCTTTCAATTTTCTTCATTCATATTCTAGCGGCGCATGCGCAGAATGAACACGTGTGGCGCGCGTAGCATGTCCATGTGTGGCCATAACCTAATCTAACCTAATACTAATCTTTCGAGATATTAATTTAATATTAGAATACAGAAAAGAAAAGAGAATTGCTAATAGAGATCGTATTTCACTGAAAATTGCGGTAAAATAAAATCCTTTTGTTGTTGCCGTACCTGCGATTTGAAAAGAACGATATTATCGCGAACAATATACGATGGAGAAGGAGAATTGGAATACGCCTAATAATGCGCCTAATACAAACGGGGATACTTTTAGAAATATGTTATTCACAGATCGACCACCTGTTGTGAATAAGAATCTGCAATTTCTCTTAATTTATGATGGTAAATAGATACATGTGCAAGAGATTGACATCTTTCAGTCTATATATATATATATATATATGTATCGATTTTTGTTGCAGAACACAATGCTCTTCTTGGAGGCACTAACATGGTTGACTTGTATTGGACTGGTACTCTCTGGCATTATAATGACATCTCAGATTTTGCTAGGGAAAGAGCTGCTATAACACAGCAAATGAGCAATGGCATTTGCGATGCTGTTTACCTAGGACATAACAAATTTGTTGTTGTGGAAGATAGCGGTGCAGTACAAATCAACGAAATAGTTCAATCAACAGACAAACAGTCTGAATTTGTATTTCTCGAACGCGAATGCCAGCATGACGACAGCGTTTTGACAGTGTCTGGATTTTCTAATAAAAGAAACATTGTCACAGGAGGAATGGATTGTTGGTAAGATGTTTCTAAAGTATATGATATTCTGTTGATCTAGCAAAGAAGAAATATTAATCTTACATTTATTGCAGTTTAAAAGTCTGGGACGTTGAAGATTTAGTAGCGACATATTCATATAGTTTTGCACACACAGATATTATCACTAGTACAGATGTAAAGCCTATGTGTACTTCCGAATTTATATCCACCTCTTTAGATGGTGAATCATTACTATGGGATATTAGACGGGCCAAACCAGCACACTGTATTTATCACTAGATTTTTAAATAAAATGTAGCAACAATAAATTTGTTGATATCACAGTCTACTTCATATTTACATCCATTATTTTTTTTTTTTTTTTAGGTATCTTCAAGAGACCCGATTGCCAGTTATTAGCAGTAACTTGGAATACTGTTTCGGATCATCTTATAGCGGTGGGTGCAGCTGACGGCACCATTGCATTAATTGATGTGAGACAAACAGAGAATCCATTATATGAGTCAGTTGAATCTAACAGAGGCATACATAAGTTGTTATTTAATCCAAATCCGGAGAGGTAAGAGAATTTACTATAAATATCAATCTACATAACAACTTTATGACAGTTTATAGAAAACAAATTTTTTTGAGACTTAGAAGAATTTAGCATCTCTCAATGGTAACGAATTTGATAACTTACGATATTCTACATTTTTGTAGGAAAGAACAATTAGCTTGTTGTTCCGACGACACTTTTGTGAAAATATTTGATACCTATAGAGAGATGCTACCTATATTCGAGGATAATAGCCATAGCGATTTCGTACAAGGACTCGCATGGTTCAAAGATGACTTATTTTCATGTTCTTGGGATGGAAGTGTGATTAAACATGTAGTATTTTCTAGCGCCGATAATTCAAGTTAATAATAATAATAATGTATCAAATTTTTTTAACAGTAATTATTGAAATGATATTTTACTTTATAATAAAATCACTCAATTTTTTTTGTATTAATTGAAATGAATCCTTCAATGTATTAAAGAAAATACTATATGTTATATACAAATAAATGATGAACTACTGACTTCAACTTGGGGAATATACACGATATTGATTTAAAACGTAAAGTTACAAAGAATGTGGATTCAATTTCGATATCTTCATTGTATAAGCGATGATATAGGATGTGACAAAATTTATTGCATTTAAGATATTGGAAAACATTCTCCTTTCGTATTTATTCAAATCTCTTAATCATCGTTTCAGACATTTCTACAACATAGTTATTATGCTCCCTGTGATTATTCAATATACTATTATTGCAGAAACACACAAAAGTTGTGTATTTGAAATATATGGTACCATCGTTACATATAACAGTAACGTAAAAGAGACAGATAGTTGAGAGACAACAAAAATTCTCAGGGATCTTAAATATCGCAATATTCTTAAAATAATTCAAACAAGTCTTTTTTTGCTTTCTGGTCCTACAATGTGTACAATGTATATAGCATATCCAATAGGATTTTATTTACAAAATGAAGTCAACAAGAGAATAATGATAAAGTGAACAAAATATCGCAGATAAAAGTTTATAAATATGAAGTGTCTAAAAAGATTACGTCGACCAATAATAGAAGATAGTAGATTAAAGATGTAATATATAATGTAATATATATAATAACTCTGGTAAAATAAATGTTTATTCTGTGTTGCATAGAGAATAATATATATTTTTATAATATGTATTCTAATATATATTCTTTGTGCCACAGAAAACTATACTTTACCCGAGCATACAATAGATAACATTTGTTTATTGTAAATATTTTGAAGGCTTAATTTTCGTATTTGTCTTGTACTGTAATTTGTGTAGGACTGATTTGTAGGACAACTGCATAAATGATTTCTTGTAAGTACATTAATTTCAAACTCGTTTATGGATATAACGCGATACATATATAACGTGAAATTTATTCGAAAGGACGATAGATAAAGATGATATAATTGTACAGTATCTTCCCTTCGGATTTTATTATTATATTCCCATATTTATGTATTCATGTTATGTTGAATCCACGCGCGCGCGCGTGCACACAAACATTCGTATACACATACACCATCATGTCATTTAAAAATTGAAAACTGTTATTTCTCGGATGACACTATGTCGAATGTCGCTTTAATTGAAAATATTCTGTTGATACTCTGATATTCTGCTGATATGAATTTTTCCTATTTCTGTTTAGATATCAGTGCCCAATTATATTTGCGATTATGAATATTCTACAGCTATATAATCATCATTCTTGCATATAAAAACTTCAAAAGAGTAGCACGCGCACATTAATTAAACATGATCATTTATAAAAAAAGCAAATAATTAATGTATCTAGCATGATTGAACGTATCTAACGTGTTGAATTGCACATTGAAAATTTCATACAAATGGAAAATATTGGATCCTCAAACAATTTGTATTTGCGCCACCAAGTTAATAATGAATGCTTATGTCGATGAGAATACGATGTGACGTCAACGATCGCGTAGCCTCGTTCAAAAACTATCTGCACATACATACGCGCTTTGTTCATTGTATTACAGAAATTAGTAAAATCGTTATGTACAATCCTTTCTTTTTATATACTGAAATATATAATTGCAATTTGCGACTAACGCGACATTGTAACTCCCGTATCGACATTCATTATTCTTATTTATACCTATGTAGCATACATAGTATCATATACCTATATTTTTATTGTTTTTTTTTGTTTTTATAACATAATCTGTCCTTTTCTCCCCTGTCAATAATGTTTTTCCCATATTTGAGCATTTATATCAATTACAACCCAAACTCTTTTTCGTCATCTTCCGGCCTTACGTCTCCGTACATCCAGATATTGCGATGGTTGTGCTTCGCATCTTCCTCAGCCTTCTTGTATTCTTCAAGCTGCAAATTAATATACACAAACGTATAAATATAAATTCTCATAATAATTCTTATCGATATAGATTAAACTACGAGACAAAATATAAAGTTGACTAACCAATTTAGTGAGCCTCCTATCCCGGTGCTTTTGAACGTGCAAAAATCCGTCAGAGATAAGCCCTTTCCCGATGTCCTCATTTGTGCTTGGGTGCATCAGTGTCACAGCAATTACGTTGCTGCTTAATTTATATTCGATATTTAACAGCAAAATTTTATCCAGTACATCTTCCTTAAATGCATCCACTGCCGCTCTCTTGTCATCAGTCTGCAAACAGTCATCAGTCTGCATTATCTGAGCATAACGACGTATATTTCGAAAAAAAGATTGTACAAAAATGTTACTTACATCGCTCGGAAGAGTTACACATGCGAGGGTGTACTCGTGGGCGTACGGTTTGTCGGTCGCGAAGCGCGCAGGCAGATCAGCGACCCGCGTAACGTTAAGGGTCTCTCTGTTACCGTAATCGATGTAGAATACGCTAACATTAGTGCCAGAGACCTTTTCTGTTTTCACGCGATACCACTGATCGTCGCCGCTGAATTTCGCGACCGCTAAATCTCCCCTGGTCGGTTTGTAAGCGCCAGGAAGTGGCGGATTAGCAGCTAACTCTTGACGCAATTGCAGAAGCATGTTCTCCAACAAGGTACCCTGATCCACAAACTGGGCGTAGAAGTGAAGATCATCGGTAACTTCGGAGATCACGACCTTCTGGTAATCGATCTTCCGCTCCTGCCCTTCCTTTTCATCCATAATCTTGTCGGTCTCCACTGGCGCTTCCACGCGATTCTTCCAAATCTATAAGATCAAATATTATATTTCTATTTCTTTCATTATCCAATTAATAGTAAGCACGTGTACTTACATTGAGTTTTTTTGCTTTTGCACGTTCCTCCGCAGCTTTAAGAGTTCTCGTAAGTTCTCCGGAGTCTGGGAAATTCACAACTTCAGCCAAACCTTCTTCAACCAGAGCGACGGACATATTGACGTCGTTCACTGTTAACCAGCCAATGAAACCGCTTAATTTTGTTTCTGTGTTCTCAATTTTAATCTCTACATCTCGTTGGAAACAATGTTCCTTGGTGAAAGCCAATGCTTTCTCGCCATATTCGTCAGCTTTTACTACTCCGCCGCCAGGCAATGTTCTTTGGCAACGCGGAGTTCTTATTCCAGCCAACACAAACGTAATAACGTAATCTTCCTTAGGAAGATAGAGTTTCAGACGCGAACCGCTCGTCACGAATTCAACAACCCCTCTAATTCCTTGCGCTCGCTTGAGCGAAGTCAAGAACGCCTTCGCTTTCGAAGGATCGTTCGAGAGATCCACTATTCTGTGAACTGGAATGTCTTTTTTTGCATGCAGTCCGTGCTGTGATTTCTCCGCTTTGCTCTCAGCGACCTGCAGAAGATTATAGTGCGAGGAACGCTGATCGTCATTCTGCCTGTACTTGATGACTCGTGCAAGACCGCGAGCGACCAATGCTTCTGCGATATTTCTGTCGACGTGATAAGAAAAGAGAAATGATTAATAATTTTTAGCAGTTCTTGATGTAAATCATTGAAAGTAACAGTAAACCTCTATTCTCTACTCTTTCTAATCTCTACTCTTACTTACGTTTTGCCAAAGGTTACAGTGCAGCACAATTTTTCCGGAAAGTTGTCCCTAGCCGGTTGCGTATAATCGACAACTACTTTTACGTTCTTCCTGATGAATTTCTCACGCAAAAATTCTCGCGCTTCCAACATCCATGGTATGTCATAAAGTGGTCTGAAATCTTTTGGCCGAGCAGTATTATTGCTGTCTTCGGTGTTCTTCTTCTCACGGGTGGGTGGTCGAATACTGCTCAGAAATACTTTCTTGTTCTCTCCATTTTGCGTTCGAATAATGAGCGCGTCCGCATTAATGATTTCCACAATGGTGCCGGTAAATTCAATCTGTGGACCGGACGGTTTGTAGTCTTTCCAAAGGCGCAAACGCGCCTCCTTCGCGGCCTTTTCGGCGAGATATAATTTCTCCGCACCAGCTCTACTGTTACTGATCGACCAATCTTGACATTTGGCGAAACCCTCGCTCAACAATATCTCGGCAATGTTTCCTAATATAAAAAGTACGATATACATAAACTCAATAGTTTCGAGTATCTAATTTTTAATATATTGATTGTCGTTAATTAATATGCCATGAATTATTTACCTTTAGGATGAATAATACTGCCGATGAAATTGTTATTGTTGACCGATTCTAGCACTATCTCGACATCCCTGTGTAAGAGTCGCGATTCCACAAAGTATCTGGCTTCGTCCGCGTAAGGATCGCCGACAGAATTTTCACGGCGCCCATTGGGCCAGCCAGGGCAACGAACTCCCGAGATCATCAATGTTATATTGTAGAAATCGGGCAAGAGGAATGCTTTGACGGTGGAGCCATCAAATATAAACTCAATCACCGCTTTGACAGGTTTCTTGCCGAATTTCTCTACCAATTTTCGAGGATCGTCGACGGTCCATTTGATATCGCGTATGTGCTCGGAGGTCGGCGAATCCGACCATTTTCCTTTCTTTGCAGCTTTTGCAATGTTCTCCAACTCGACCAATCGCTGCTGCTCGGCTGTAGGATTGCGGTTATCCTTTTTAACAGTCACCAGACCCTCGGATACCAAAGTTTCGATTACATTTTCGCCGTTTCTGTCTACGAAATAATAATTGCATTTAAATATAAAAATCAATTTTTCAAATTTTATCACATGTAATTATTGTGATTATACCTTTCCCTAACCAGACTGTTCCATATGTTCTAGCTGTATTGACCGACTTTTCGGTGGCAAATGTGACATCTTGACCAATCAACTTCCGACGTAAGAATTCCCTCGCTTCCCAAGCATACGGTTCATCTTTGGTTTCATCCATACTACAGAGATATATATATA